ATCCGACAGTAGCAGATAGTAAGTCGTACGAATGTGTAGCTACCAATGAGGCCGGCTCAGTAAGCACAACTTTCAAAACGTTCATACGACGTGAGTATTTACAGTGATTAAACATACAAACGTATAGCGCTTTGATGTTAATTATGACCAGTGATGTTAGAAACTTTACATTTTCAGGTCATTAATAAAGTGGTGGAAGTTTTAGTAGTTAATTAATGCATTATGAATGCACACACATTACCATATCTTTTCATAATAATACTGATACGTAATTATTGTTTTACAGAGAAACCACAAGTTGTAGGTGTTGCTACTAAGAAGGTTAACCTCGGAACGGCCATTGATATAGAATGCAGGTGGGTAGTTAGTTGTTGAGATTAAAATTATATTATAGGATTTTAACCTGTCAAACAACAAGCGGTCACCGGTGACCGCAACCTATTGTTCTATAATTGTGTCTATAATGACGGTACTCGACGAGTTAAAAAGAAACACGATATTTATAATGTCATACGAGAAATGGAATAACATGAACGTAATTCATTAATTATCTTTACATGTCATTGAATATTTAATTTGTTATCAATTGCAGGGTTGTCAAGGGTAGGCCGAAACCGAACATCAGATGGTTCGTGGATAACTCTGGAAAACAATTCGTGCCAGTCGACGGATCGCTAGATGTGATGCACATTGCGAGGGCAGAAAACACACACACAGGTCGCTACAAGTGTGTGGTACAGAACGAAGCTGGAACGGTCGAACACGTCACTAGTCTTACTGTGGAATGTAAGTTCATCACATCACAGTACTTCCAGGATTAACAGGACTTTATTGGATTGTTAAGAATCAAATCATAAATAAATATCGTTTATTTCCAAATTAAGATCTTCAAGAAAACTAATTAATATATAAGAAGGTGAAAATCTCTCAATTCTGATTTACTTAATTGTTGAACTGTTTCGTTTGCAGCAAGACCAGATATCGTGACAAAGTCTAAATCAGTGGAAGCCATAGAAGGTGATGTGGCAATAAAGATACCTTGCAATGTCGTAGGCGTTCCACGACCCACGATCACATGGAAACTAAAAGGAGCTATCATCACACCCAGTAAGTATTGGATGTAATGACTTGCTAATCCCACAAAATTAAGGACTAATGTTAATTGCTAAAAATATGGAAGCATTAGGAACTTGGGACGTCCTACAATAGCAACCAAGAACCAAAAGATGCAACAGCATGGTAAAGGAGACGCCGCTACTCCTTCTTTAAAGGCCTCCAATATTTGAATGTTTTCCAGCTGATGATTGTGGTGTTTGATAACAATAGAAACATACATTTAAAATATTGCTGTTTTCTTTCAGATACAAAATACTCTTTTGACAATGGATCGTTGGTTATCCTGAACCCGAATAAAATTGATATTGGAAAATACACATGTGAAGCTAAAAACTATCTTGGGTCAGCCAGTAGCACGACCGACCTAACACTTGAAAGTAAGACTTCTCTAATCTTGCATACAACAATTAGACACATATAAAATCCCACAACAATAAACCAATTAAGTCGTTGCAAATACTGTTTAAACATTATGTTTAAGGTCAATGTCATTTCTACTAAGTGTCAGTGAATGGGAACGAGCGGAAAAAAACATAAAACGAATCTTTAATCTCTCCCTGAGGACACGGTGGAACACACAGTGGGGATTCCCCCACACAGGGCATTCGTCCTGCGTGGGCTGAGCACCACCGTGCCCTCAAGGAAGTGATCGGCGATGGCGACCTCTCGCGTTCGGGCCTAGTGCAGGTCACGATGCGTAGCAAGGGGGACTGGGATGCCGTCTCCTGCTTTTGCGAAGTAGTTATGCTAGCTAAGGAGGAGGCGGGACGCGTGAGGCAGCGAAGCGCTGCCTCCTCGCAACCCAGCCATCGCGAAGGAATAGGCTTAAATGTATAAAATAACGTCATATTTGTTTATAATTAACTAGCGACCCGCCCCGGCTTCGCACGGATGCAATATGTATATACATACAAACCTTCCTTAAGAATCAGTCTATCTATTAAAAAAAACCGCATCAAAATCCGTTGCGTAGTTTTAAAGATCTAAGCATACATACGGACATTCAGCGAAAGCGACTTTGTTTTATACTATGTATTGATTAATAGTTATGATTTTATTTCATACAGAAAGACCCAGCACCTTCGGAACAACACACTTCGTGTACTTATTATATGGTGAAAATAGGAATATCGAATGTGATGCGTATCGTTCTAAATCTCAATCAATTAAATGGTTCGATGTAAGTACATTTCGCAATTTCTTACACCAAAATTGATCCATTTTTCGTTTAGCCAGGATACTCTAATATTATTTTTTGCTTCCACAGAATGAGGGAGAGTTGAAACAGAAATCCATTCAAATAACTAAAGCAACAGTTTCAAATGACGGTAACTACACATGTCATGTAAGTGACAAGCACGGACACACGGAAACACACACGTATGTTGTTGATGTTGGCGGCCCACCCAAACTATTGGGAGATAATCCTCTTAATGATTGGCGTGGCGGAGTACAAGAAATCCGATCGAACTGCGACAGCGACGAAAAACCACCAGCTAAAGTAAGTCCAAGCACATGACTCTTAACGTGGGTAGAAACGTACGTGTCTACTTCCATCAACACTTACTATGAGAATAAAATCGACTTAAATAATTTTCAGGTCCAATGGAAATACAATGGTAAAGTGATACCCGATAGTGATGTGCAAGATATAGGTGTCATCTACAAATGGGGTCATTACAGTTGCAACGTCTCTAATCCACACGGCTCAGTATTGAAAGATTTTGACGTAAAATCTTCTGGTAAGTGTAACTTACGCACTTAAAATATTAATATAAATGTAGTTAAAATAGCATTTGCTCAAACAACTCGGCTGATTGAACATTTGATTTAATTGGATTTTTGTCTATCATTAAAACCTAGTTATTTAAAAATACTTTAACTGATGAGGAAATGTAAGAAAAAAGACTTCCTACGTAAGACAGTTCATCATAAGCCAATAGGTGAATATACCTGAAGACTTGTACTTATCATTTGATAAGTACAAAAATAATTTTATTTAAATAAGTCATTAATATATAGTTTTCGGTTTTAATACTTTTTACTTTTAATGTTTTCTTATAAATTAATTCAAGGGTAGCATAAGTTGATCTGGTCAGTTGGTTGAGCTTATACCTATTTTAAGTTTATACTACAGACAAATTACCTTTTTATGAGAAGCACATGAACAACTAAAGTTTTTCTTTATTACAGTGTGCTTGATACCCAAAAACTTGAAAGATGCCGAGTATATGCCGCTCGTACTTGACGATAAAGGTGATTGGCCTACATGGGAGACATCAAAATACTTTTCAGTAGTAGAACAAGAAGAAAAAATTACACTGTCATGTCCAAACCGCAAAGATGCTTCAAATTCCTTCAAAAAGTTCCCATCGAAGACCGTATTAAAAGCGTATTGTGACAAAGAAGACGTATTCATAGTTGACGGGAAAAGGTATAAACTTTCTGATCTGCAATGCACACAAGGAATTCAACCCACCGTTGCCAAAAAGAACGTTAAATGCTTGACAGGCAATTCGGAATTAATAAAAGTAGGATACAATACTGGCGGCTTCTTGGAATCTTATGAAGTCTGTTTTGATAAAACAGTGCGTATGCCTCGATACATTCGCAACATCGTAACCGCAAAGAATGATAAGCTCAGTTCCACTTATGCCTGGCACACCTACCCGGGTATTGAGAACAGTCACAATGAGAAGGCATTTACTTGTAAAAACAAGCTGTCATCTTGCTGTTACGCAAAATCTCAGCTGGTGGAGGCAGAAGACTTCAAATATGCTGCTGAGATGAATACCACCTTTATCGATCCTTTGAATGTGGTTCCAGCCTGGCGCCCTTGTAGTGCTTCTCAGGTAAAGTTAATTAACTTACCATCAAGGTAATTCTTAAATATTATGCTACTGTAACTGTTGACTAATCAGCGATTTTAACTTTATAGACGTCGTGGGAATCTGTTAATAAAATGGTAAGAGAGCAGATGTTTTACGACGAATTTGTCGTCTGGTCTGGAACTGACACCTGGCAAAAGAAGGATGGAGCTGTTATACCCCGATATTTATGGAAGGTATGACATTTTGAAATACATTATGGTTACTGTGCTAAAATATCAGAATACCTACTATTACGATAGGTATATTTGTCTTTACAAAATGGATAAATATTCACTTTATTCATTTACGATTGAATATTTCAGGTAATTCGTTTTGATGACGATGAAGTTTTTGCTATCATCCACGTCAACGATCGTACACCAACAGACTCAGATATTAAATGCAGAAACGTCTGTAACAGTGAGGATGAACCATGGTTCAAAGTTAGTGATAAGTACACGTACTGCTGTTCACTGTCAGATTTCTTAAAGGCATTTGAATACCACGACGCTAGCATTGGAGGCAAGTATCAAATGATTTTGTAAAATTAAAAGCCTGCTTAAAATATTTGTAAAGTGTCCAGTTTTTCTATTAAAAATAACATTGATCATACAGTATAAATATTTTTCATTAAACTTAAAGTAGAAATGAATAGGGGTGCAACAAGGCACTATATTGGGTCCCACTCTTATTTTTTCAGAAGTAAAATTGTTGCATATAGCAATACTAACTTATGTGTATTGTTTTTCAGGACCACTTAGCGATGGAGAATGAAATACTTCATTCGCTGTGAAGCTCCACCAACAGTCACTATTGGTGGATTCCCCGATGTAATATAATCACGGTCTACACATCAAAATAAATATTGATAAGTTAAGGTAATAGAGCGTTTTGTTATCCTGTTCATACATCACCCGACAGACACGGTGACAGAACATCTCATAAAAAAAGTTATAATGGAATTATGTACCCATTAGTATGTCAAAACGCTTGATTCTTCAAAATAATTATGGATTGGCACTTCACTACACTGCACACTTTTAGTAATTAAATGGCAAATAAACCGACATTGATCTTGTAATTAATTTTATTGCACTCCTGTAATAAATAATATCCTTAAAAATTGATTTTAATTTTATATATTTTTACCCTGACTCAAAATGCGTAATTAGTTTGGATGATTTCCGTATATGAGCCCAAGTAGACAATTTCGTTTGCAATGTCATTCTAGATAATATTTTTCATAAATTGTCAACTGCCGCTACAAAAAAGAAAGGCTCCAATTTCGGGAGACCTGGATAACTGTCCACGTTGCGTCATTTGACGAATGTATGTACCCTTCACAAACAACAGGTGACCTGCTAAAGAAGAATACTTGCATCTAGCTTAGAAACAATGAAATCTGTCCATAAAGCGTCAAGGTTAAATCCACCTATTGTGCCAGAGAGTTTACAGGTTACCACAAATCACGTTCTACTTCAACTCAATTTATTTGGTATATCCAGCCAAGTAACTTAGTAAACAGGCTAAAAATATATTGATTCAGCGCATCAGTAGCAAATATAGTATTATATATATATATATATAGTATTGTACTAGTACACTGTATGCATTATGACGAAGCTATAACATTTGTTACCTTTGACTTTGACTCAATACTAAACCAGTAATGTAAGTAAGAATAAGTTTTCAAATATATACCTACCTATATAGTGTTTATTGAATATTATGATTGTGAGATTTTATTATTTTTTATACTGGTACATTGCCTATTTATAAAGGTTTAAAATCACCTGCTACTTTCATGTCTGCACTGCTTAAAAGTTGACTGGGAGACAATGCCCAAGGCATTAAGTCCACCTGTACAAATTTGTTGTATGACGTTGAAATCAATAAAATAATTACTGTCCCTGAACTGAGTTAATCTGTATTTTCGTCTGCATACTGAATACATAACGGCTACCCAGAAGGTGTGAAACAGGCCCTTAATGTGAATATCTCTAATGTAACACACAAATGTAATATAGAGTTTTATTTTCCCCATAACATTATTTTTAATTAGCTTTGTCACTGCGTCAGTCAGTCCGACCGTTTAAATGTATACAAACATCCTGTAGGAAAAAGGAAACTTTATTCAAATCTGTACAACGTTTGATAAAGTATTTCTATAAAATTAAATATATCCTATTAACAATTTATTTCAAATTTAAATATTATTAGCTGTTACGCGCGACTTTGTCCGCGTAAAATAATGTCTTCTGGCAGAAATTGAGCGTTTCAATTAGTCTTTACCAAGGTATATTCTACTGTTGTAAAAAATGTCATCAGAATCGATTAGGTACTTATAGTATTTATAGAGAAATGAATATATTGTCGAGGTTTAAAAAGTATAATTCCACTAGCAAACCCGGCGAACTCCGTTTCGGCTTCGTTTTATGTAACATTTTGTTAGGTGATTAAAAGATGACGAAAATGTGTTTTGTTTTATATTTTATAAACCTCACGGAGCCCAAGACCTTTCCAACGAATGCAAAACCGTGGAAATCGGTTCGTGCGTTCTGGAGTAATAGCGTTAGGAAGGAAAACCCGACTTATTCCTATATAGTAGATATGGGCTTCACGAATACAGTCGTCTGACCGTCTCATGAGGAGTGATAAAAACTATTCTATGTTTTCAAATCAATGAAGTACAAAATTGCATTCAATTCAGTTCAGTGGTTTACGAGATAGGGAGTCCTATGTTTTTAATGCATAGTTCCAGTTGCCGTAGGATTTCGGGAATAAAAACTATCATATGTCGTTTTCCAGGTCTCAAACTATTGTTGTCACGCATTTTACGTAAATAGGTTCAATGTTTTAAAAGTCCCGGCATTTTAATGCCATGTGCCAGGGTAACTATTTGTCAGTAAAGAACATAAGTTCTTCCCAATCTCATCACTGAAGATTACAATGTTATTGTTGTTATTATGCCCGGAATTGTGCCCGGTATATGGCAATAGGCTCACCCCCTATTACATGGGACTCATATCATAAATAGTGAAAAGTGGGTGTTACATTGCACAGTGGTACAATGTGCACCTCTGCCTACCCTTTCGGGGATAAAAGGCGTGATGTTATGTTATGTTATGTTTTTATTATTACTACGGTTACAATGGCTAGGAATCAATGAACGGGCACCTTGAGGTAGGGTGGAATCATCACATAGAACATGCAGGCAGTACATCATCAGAATTAAACTTCTCACACTGGTTTTCCTGTGACCGCACTAACTCATTCATTGCCAACATGTATTCTCTCATTTGGTTTTCAGATGCACTATATTTATTGGTCATATTGTACATAAAAAGATCTCTCCAAGGATCTCTCCCCATATTGCAGAAAACTGTACGACAATCAGACTCGTTCTTTTTGAGATTATCGCGAACAGTCAGACAGACACAGAGGTTGACTTTGTTTTATAATATGTAGTGATTATATAGGAAAGTAGGATAGGATACAATGACGTTATTCGTTATTCTGATAATTACCTAAACACTTTACCACAGGTACATACCTGTGTGTATTTACTCCATAAGCAATACCTTATAAATTACACTATATTTAAGTATGCATCAGTACCTTCCCTGACCTTCCCGTCTATCGGTTTACCATTCGCTCAAATTGCAGAATTTTATTGTCATTCAACATAATTATTATAGTGTTTTACATAATTATGAAGTGCATAATCGTCGACTATTTCGAATTTGAATCCTATTATCATTGTGCCACCTTTAAGTAAAGAGTAGTTTTAAATGTGGGAGAGCCATGCTTCCGCACGAATGTTTCGGCTCGACCGGAGTGATACCACGGGCTCACAGAAAAACCGAAGTGAAACAACGCTTGCGTTGTGGTTCGTAGTGTGAGTGAGGTTACTGAAGGCCCAATTACTTCCTCCCCCCTTCCCCAATCTCCCCAATCCCTGAATTCCCAACAATCTTCACATTCCTAATCTCCGAAACGCCGGTAACGCACTTGTAACGCCTCTGGAGTTCCGGGTGTCCAAGAGCGACGCCGATTGCTTACCATCAGGTCATGCGTCTGCTTGTTTACTGGCTTATCCCATAAAAAATATACCGCGTTGACCCGGATGATTCGAAACCTGACAAGTAACTTTTTCCGCGTTATATGTACTTTCTAAAATTATTTCCAGTGAAATACGGTGAAGGAATAATATAGTGAAGAAACCTGGACTCATAATTGTTTAATAAGTTTCATATCGCCAACCCGCTTTGAGCTATCGTAGTGATTAATGCTTAATCCTTCTCAGTTTGATAAGCCTTTGGTCAGCAGTGGGTCCTTATAAGCTGTTGATTTGATGTGATGTGAAAATTGTACATATAATGTGAATAAAGTATGTGCTGCTGGTTTTAGTTCCAAGTAGTACTTGGTAC